AATCTGTCGTGTGTTTTATGTAAAAATAATCATCAATTGTACCATTGCGAAAAGTTTATTAAGTTATCGGTTGATGAAAGAATAAAAACAGTCAAAAAGGCGCATCTTTGTATCAATTGTTTGCGATCGTCGTCACATCAAGCAAAGGTCTGCAATTCGAGCGTTTGTCGTAAATGCAATAAAAAGCATAATACCTTACTACATTTATCTACTAATGATAACTCAGATAAGAGTTCCGCGTCTCAAGTAGAGTCCTTTCAAGAAAATAATGCATTACCTATTTCGACACAATGTGTAGCAAGTAATCGTGCATCTAGTATTTTATTATCCACAGCGGTAATTCATGTATATGATATAAATAAACAAGTGCATTCATGTCGAGTTTTGCTTGATAGTGGATCTCAGATGAATTTTGTAACACAAGAGTTTGTTAATCGATTGCAGTTAACCGAAAAGAACCTTGAGATTTCCATAGCTGGTGTAATGCAAGGAATTGTGCATGCAACCAAAGTTGTCAATTTATGTATTAAGTCACGTTTCAATAACTTCCAAGAAAATATAGAGTGTGTAGTGTTACCAAAGATTACTCAACACTTACCGCAACAATCGGTTTCAATTCAAGATTTGACTATACCAAAGAATATAAAATTAGCAGATCCTAATTTCCACATATCAGCAGGCATCGATATGCTGATTGGTGCTGAAGTATTTTGGAGAGTTATTTGCGCTGGTCAGATTAAAAATTCAAGATCTCATCCAATCATTCAAAAAACGCATTTTGGTTGGGTAATCTCAGGTAGCATGTCAAACGTTATTGCTAGGCCAAGATCAATAGTAAATTTTCATGCAAGCGAATTCGATGAGTTAAACCAGAGTCTGAAAAGATTTTGGGAGGTGGAGCATATCTCCAACCCTCAATACAGTAAGGAAGAGCAAGCCTGCAACGAGTTATTTCTTGAAGGAGTAAATCGCAGCGTTGAGGGACGTTATATCGTAAGGTTACCGGTCAAACCGAACATTCTAAACAAGTTGGGTGAATCTCGCGAAACTGCAATGCGACGTTTCAAGAAGTTAGAAGCGCGCTTGATAACGCAACCATCAGATTTATACGAAGAGTATAAGAGATTTATGGCAGAGTACCAGGCATTAGGGCATATGCGAGAAATAAGCGATGAGCAAGTAGCCCGCACAAGCGGTCCCTCATTTTACTTGCCACATCATGCAGTAAGGAATGAAACAAGTTTAACAACGCGGGTCAGAGTTGTTTTCGATGGCTCCTGCAAGAGCAGCACAGGTATTTCACTAAATGACGCATTAATGATTGGTCCAACGCAACAAGAAGATTTATTTTCCATTATGACTAGATTTCGAACTTTCAAGATTGCAATCACTGCGGATATAACCAAGATGTACCGCCAGGTATTAATTGATCCAAATCAGACGGCTTTACAACGCATCATATGGAGAAGTAGCAATTCTCTACCATTAACGACATTCGAATTAATGACAGTAACTTATGGTACATCTTCTGCATCTTTCCTAGCCATTCGAACCATAAGAAGGCTCGCGGAAGATTATTCGACACAATATCCATTAGCTTCAAAAGTTCTTTTACGTGATTTTTATGTCGATGACCTCATATCAGGAGCTGACACAGTGGAAGAGGCATCACAGCTTAAGAACGAATTAACTCAACTCTTATACGAAGGAAAGTTTGAATTAAGGAAATGGTCATCCAATGAGCCATCTCTCAGAGATGAATATTCCGGTAATAGCATTCGGGAATTCAATTTAGCGACAGACAAAAATACAGAAACGAGGGCGCTGGGTCTGATATGGAATTGTTCCTCAGATTCTTTTAAGGTCGCTAGCGTTGGTCATCTTCCCCCTTTGCAAAAACTTACAAAAAGAAGAATTCTGTCACGCGCAGCATTAACTTTTGACCCTCTGGGACTTATAGGACCAGTAACAGTGGTAGCAAAAATTATGATCCAAGATCTGTGGAGACTCAACACTGGTTGGGACGAATCAGTACCATTAGCGTGTTATACAAAATGGAAACAGTATGAACGCGAATTATCCATTTTAAGAGACATTAATATCTCGAGATTAGTCGTATCGAGTGAACAACATACTTCATTGGAAATCCATGGATTCTCAGACGCAAGCGAAAACGCCTATGGAGCGTGCATTTATTTACGATCTACATTAGCTGACGGAAGGCACATTACAAAATTACTTTGTTCTAAATCTAGAGTGGCACCGTTGAAGAGCATATCACTACCACGTTTGGAGTTATGCGCAGCATTGCTATTAGCACAGTTGTTAAAAAAGGTAACAGACAGTCTGCCGTGTCAAATAGACGAATTCGGTTGTGGACAGACTCCACCATTGTTCTATCTTGGATTCAATCCTGCAGCAGATCATGGACGCCGTTTGTTTCAAATCGTGTAGGAGAGATACAGCAGTTAACACCAATTCACTATTGGCACCACATAAGAAGCCAAGACAATCCTGCCGATCCCCTATCTAGAGGCGTTATGCCTAGTGATATAATGAACTTGCAAATTTGGTGGGCGGGACCCCCTTGGTTGAGTCAAGACAAGGATAGTTGGCCTAAAGGTCAGCATATTAATCATTCCGAGGATATTCCTGAGAGAAGATCAAAAGCTATCGTTGCAGTAGCAGCATCTCAAGATTTAGACATTTTCGAGAGATATTCCACATTCACTAAGCTTATCCGAGTCGTTGCATACATGGTGAGGTTTGCAGAAAAGACAAGAAAAAAGGACTCTGCAGAAATTTCGCAAGTGCCACAGCGAAAAGATAGCAACAATATTCGATCCATTACGTCAAATGAGCAGCATCAAGTGATTATGCGTCTAGTAAAGATAATTCAGAGAGTTCATTTTACAGAGGAGCTTAAGTCATTAAACAGACTAGGTCTCGTAGATAAAAAAAGTCATATATTAAAACTAAGTCCATTTGTGGATGAATCAGGAATCTTAAGAGTGGGAGGACGTCTTAAAGCAGCAAGTATTCCGTTCTCAGCAAAATATCCTATATTACTCCCAGGGCATCATGCATTTTCGCAATTAATTGTAATGCATGAACATGTAAAGCACTTTCACGCGGGAGCACAAGCTACGTTGGCCGCGGTGAGACAAGGCTATTGGCTCATTTCAGCAAGAAATGTCGTTCGAAGTATAGTCCGAAGGTGCGTGGTTTGTTTTCGAAGCAATCCAGTCCCAGCATCTGCAATTATGGGAAATCTTCCACAGTCACGTGTAAACATACCGACCAGAGCATTTGAAAAGTGTGGAATCGATTATGCCGGTCCATTCTATCACAAAGAAGGTACTAGAAGAACCACTCAATTAAGAAAATGTTACATCGCAATTTTTGTATGCATGGCAACTAAGGCCATACATATAGAGTTGGCAGTTGACTTATCCACGAAAGCATTTTTGAACGTGTTTAAACGCTTCATAGCAAGAAGAGGTTGTCCTTTAGAAGTATTCTCCGATAACGGTCTTAACTTCGTGGGAGCACAACGTGAGCGAACTAACGCAGGTCCTTCAGGATCAAGCAGCGCAAGGAAAAATTATAGAATATGCAGCATGTAAGGGAATTAAATGGCATTTTATTCCGCCCAACGCTCCGCATCAAGGTGGAATATGGGAAGCGGCCGTTAAATCCACCAAAACTCATTTAGTTAAAATGACTAGAGAAGCACACTTAAGATGGGAAGAATTAGAAACTCTCCTCATTCAATGCGAGGCCATTTTAAATTCTCGTCCTATCACTCCGATATCATCAGATCCTTGTGATCTCACGTTCTTGACACCTGGGCATTTTTTAATAGGCACTCCTCTTACAGCTTGCCCTGAAGAGGCGCTAGAATGCATTGCAACAAACAGGCTTTCTAGATGGCAGCATGTCCAGCAAATTAAGCAGCAGTTTTGGGTTTGGCGTGCCAAACGGGATGCCTGTGCCAATGTCCGGATGTTCCATGTGCCAATTCGTATACCTTTTTGATAGCTAAGGTTCATTTCCGTTGTATCCGTCCGATATCCGAGGCTCGTATTCGTTTCTCGAATCAGCTTGTTTCGGGTTTGCGGGTGATTGGCCCACAGAATCCTATCCAGCCGTCAGAGTTATACTGACTGTCGGTCGGCCGGAGCAACCGGTGATGGCCGTTTTTGTTATTATTTTTATTTAGGAATTCTAGCTGGATTTGAACTCGGGATCTTTGGCATGGGAGGCAAATACTTTGCCAGTGCGCTACGGCCACCACACGGTTGGATACCACTCTGTTTTAAATAATTTAAAGTCAAATTGTTAATATATTAATATACACATATGTTCCTACAAAAAACTATTTAAAAATGAAGAGCTAAGTACCAGTTATGTAATTAATTCTTTAAAGAATTAAACGTTCTTCATAACTTTTATTTAAAAAAAATTAAATTATAAGGATAACACCAAGTAGGTTTTTAAATTCTAAACAGCAAATATGATTAGTCAATTCCGATTAAGTAATTATGAGGTTGGTGTAATTCTACTAAACATAAAAGAAGATAACATCACGTAGGTTTTTATAAAAAATTAACCTTGGCATACATATGTGGTATTCAAGTACATGTTCGTGTTAGTATTAGTCAAATCAGACGTAAAGTTGGGAACTGTTGGGTATTCGGAAGAGACGTTACGTTGAAATTCCTTGTGCTACTTTTCTACTGCTTCCCCTCGCTAATGATTGCGATAATCTGGCTTCTTAACACCTTTTCCTTTGGATGAAAATCGCAAGTCGTTATTGCAGTTCAAAGTTTTATCGGTGGGTCATCCGGATCGCAGGAATGGTGCTGTGCTTGCTGTACTTGACAATAGGAATTTCTGTGCGTCAGTCTTCAATCTTCTACCTCAATGTCTTTACTGAAAATTGTGAGGTTTTCTTTATTCAGACTTCTTCCGACAATATGTTCCTTCGTTGATTGATCTTTACTTGGAGATGATTCCAAAGCAAGATTGTTTTAAGCCGTGATCTTCTAAACAGTTATGAGTACCGCTGCCACCAATTGTTATGAGCACAGAACGCCGTAATAATGAGAAAAAGGTTCGACAACTGTCTTTTGACCAAACTTTATTCAACGAGATTACAGGCAAGCATTCAGACTAGCGAGCTAAGGATGATGTCCAGAGTACGACTTACGAGTATAGACTAAGTATAGATCTGAACTAGAAAGGATCTTTATCTTAACTAAAGAGGTGGAGTCCCGGAATGTTTCTAATCAATAACATTACATCTTCAAGTACCAAAAATGTGCGTGATGTGGACAAAGAAAATTAAGATACGTGAGCATTGATAACTCAGGAATCGGTTTACAGATGGGTCATAAAATAAATTCGTTAGACACGTACCTCTTTTTACCTATAATTCTAAAAACATCGTAAAACTGAATATTCAAAAGAGGTTTTCAAAAGGGAAATATTCAAAAAGGTAAAATAAAAGGAAAATGAAAAGACAAAAAGGAAAGGAACGCAATTGGTGAAAGTAATAAAATAAATGTCAGGAAACAAGATTAATAGTCCTTTATATTATTTATCATTATATTTACACATATTAATAATTCTATACATGAAGTTCCAAGTTTTATAAAAAATAGTTTTGATTTGATTAAAAAATTAAAAAATGTCAAACTTGATTCGAATTCATTTCTGATTTCATTGGACGTGGTTTCCGCTAACATACCTATAAATTTGGCATCTATAGTATTGTTAAGAGATGGGATTTAATATCTGAAAACACTAAAATTCCACTTGAAGAATTTATGATAGCTTTCAGATTAGTTTTGAATTCTACTGTTTTTATGTTTAACAACAAATATTACAAACAAATATTTGCAATTCCAATGGGATATCCATTATCACCAGCAGTTGTAGATATGGTTATACAAGATTTTAAAGAAACTGTAATTGAATTAATACCTTTTCGTCCATTATTTTATTACCGTTATGTTGATGACATTATTTTGGCAGTTCCATCTGAGAGCATTAATGACACTTTATATGTTTTTAATTCTTTACATACCAGATTACAGTTCACTATAGAAATTGATAACGAAGGAAAAATAAGTTTTTTAGATACACTGATAATTGTGAAAGAAGATGGTGTTACGTCCAAGCCTCAGGACATTTTTTTTATTTCATAGGAAATTCTGGGTTAAGGAGGTTTCGAAAGAATGTAATCGCGATACTACTCTCTCGAGGTCGTCGCCTTACGGTGCGACCCAAGAGACAGTCGGACGTATTTAAAAAAGGGCACGGAATTAGGTCAGTGTGCCATACGGCTCACTATAACACTTATTCCGAACCCGTTGGTCCTTTAAATTTAGGCCAAGGAACTCAATTCTTATAGCCTGGGATATGGACCGAGTGCGATCTCGAGGAGAACAGTTGAAAATGCGGGGAAGGTTTTTTTTAAATGAATTTATACTCTTTAATGAAAAAAATCATTATTTAAATGTTATTCAAACAATAATTGAATAAAGGCCGAATGACGGTCAAGCAAGATTTAGGTTGCTACAGTAATGTGTGAATTTTATTTACCACATATGTAGCCTTCTTTAATCGCGCACCGAAATATTTTCAGTCTTTTACAAACGCAACTCTAAATAACTACCGTAGTAATATCACTAGTTAAATTGACACGCAATCTAACAATATTTGATGCTTATAGCATCTTATTGGATCTTAATAATATGTTGAAAGACATATATTAACTTTTAATGATTTGTTATTAATTAATGTAAATTAAATTAATAATAAATCAAATTCTGTGAAAAATAAGATTGCGAAGAATATAAGACTCATCAGTAAGGTAATTGTAATGGAAACCTACCTTAGACGCCTGGGGGAGATATTAGAAAGAAGTTCTATATAAACAGATACTTATGTATCTTAGCACTTGCGAGAGAAGCAAGCGTAACTATAGACCTCTGTAGGCTGGTCGACGTAGTGATATTCTTCAAAATGCTCCCGTTTTTAAGAAATTAATAACGTATTTTGCAGGCATGTTGTTTCGAAACGTTTGCCTATATTTGTTTATTTATCTTTTTGTTATTTCGTTATATCATATGTCATTAAATTCTTATGGTTTAAATTGAAACTTTACTTTTATTATTTATAATATTTAATTTATGGCTCGTAGTCCTGTTATTGTCGATGTTTTTTTTAATTTGATTACATTGAAAATGTTCCAATCGGAATCGAAACGTTTATATTATGGGTGTGTTCCAAAATTGACTGCCAATACTGAAAATCTATAGTTTATGTTACGAGCACTATAGGTTTTCAGTACTGACAATCAATTTTGGAATACACACTATGTATGATTGTTTGAATTAAATGGTTCGTTAATTTACTTGGCTCTTTGCCCTCTTTACATTTAAATTATTTTATATAATTTTTAAAAATAAAGGTTTCAAATAAAATTATTTTAAATACTTCCGACTGCTTACTGCTATGATTTAAACCATTCGATTGTCATGAAACATTTCGACTGCACGCGGAGCGGTGAGGGGGACAGTGCAACCTTTGGTTAATTTTCGAATCGTTTTCGTCTAGCTTTCGCTGTCCCCCTCACAACACCGCACCACGTATAATATATTACCACGAAGAGTGTAAAACTGTTTTACATTTATTTAATAATTTTATAATGTGTGGTCGCGTTAACGAATATAAAAAAATTAATGTTGTTTTAAAATTGACGCGTTAATACTATCACCATACAAACTTACCTTTTTAAAAAAAAGGTAGAAAAAAGCGCTAAGAGTGGGTGTTGATGGTAAAAAAAACCATGTAACGACCTAACTTTTGAATGCGCGGATGCAGCTCGTCGGATTAGTCGTCGCAGGATTCAAAAGAGGTTCGATCGGTGGGAGAGTGCAAGTAAAATCTCAGATGTACGACTATTACAATGAAGCGTTGATTTATTATGTGAGGAATGAAAAGTGTTTCTATATACAATGTTGTGTCTGAAATGAGGTGTGTATAGACTGTGTGTATGACGGTGTGTAACCGAGATTGCGGCGGATTCCTTATAAGCTAGGTGTGTGTGTATATTTACAATGATGCACACGGTGCGGTAGCTGTTTCGGAAGCCGGCGTGTGCGTGTGCGTGTGTGTGCGTGTATGACGGCCTTCGGCGCCGGTGTGTTTGTGTTGCCTATGCTGGAGATATCTTTCTTCGCGACGCGAGCTAAGCCGGGCCGTTTAAAGGCCGGCTCGTATTTACTTGGTTTTTCCAATATCATCTACCGAGACGGTTCGCGTTTCGCGATCAGCTGATGTTCGCAAAATCTGTGTGCGACGGTATCGCGGATGTTATATGCCCGCGGATGGTCGCGGCTTAAATCGGTGCACGCGTACGACGACCCACGACCGAGAACACTCCACCCCGGGCTACTGTGGGTCAACCGCAGCGGCAGAGTATGCAGATATTAGTGACTCGAGTTGACGACCGAGAACTCTCGGTGGAGGCAGAGTACCCTCTACCCCGGGCGTCAACTCGGAGTCCGTACCGTGTACCGGGTCGGCTGTCGGGAACTCCCGACGGAGATAGAGT